GCCTCCCCAATAGCTGGGACTATAGGCGCCTGCCACCACGCCCAGCTAATTTTTTCTTTTTTTTTTTTTTTTTTGAGACGGAGTCTCACTCTGTTGCCCAGAGTGCAGTGCAATGGCACGATCTCGGCTCCTGCAACCTCCGCCTCCCGGGTTCAAGCAATTCTCCTGCCTCAGCCTCCGGAGTAGCTGGGATTACAGGCGTGCGCCACCAGGCCCGGCTAATTTTTGTAATTTTAGTAGAGACGGGTTTCACCATGTTGGTCAGGGCGTGGTCTCGAACTCCTGACCTCGTGATCCACCCGCCTCAGCCTCCCAAAGTGCTGGGATTACAGGTGTGAGCCACCGCACCTGGCCTTTTTTTTTTTTGAAACAGAGTCTCGCTCTTCACCTAGGCTGGAGTGCAATGGTGCGATCTCGGCTCACTGCAACCTCTACCTCCCAGGTTCAAGCGATTCTCCTGCCTCAGCCTCCTGAGTAGCTGGGATTACAGGCACATGCCACCATGCCTGGCTAACTTTTGTATTTTTAGTAAAGACGGGGTTTCACCATGTTGGTCAGGTTGGTCTCGAACTCCTGAAGTTGGCCTCCCAAAGTGCTGGGATTATAGGCATGAGCCTTCTTCCACTTCTAATAGACTCTACTAGTCTGGGAAATGCACCAAAAAGACAGCATGGTTAACAGGTCAGTATTTCATGACCTTTTTTATACTTCCTATTTTTATTTTAGATAGGTTTCTTGATTGATGCAAAATGTCAATTGTAGTGGTAGGGAACTGGCATAAGGAAGCTTCCTAAATGGAGGTCTCAAGAGAGAATTGTGTTTCTTTTTTTTTTTTTTTTTTTTTTTTGAGACGGAGTCTGGCTCTGTCGCCCACATTGGAATGCAGTGGTGCAATCTTGGCTCCCTGCAACCTCCGCCTCCCGGGTTCAAGCGATGCTCCTACCTCAGCCTTCTCAGTAGCTGGGACTACAGGCATGCACCACCATACCCACTTAAATTTTTCTATTTTAGTAGAGATGGGGTTTCACCATGTTGCTCAGGCTGGTCTCGAACTCCTGAGCTCAGGCAATTTGCCTGCCTAGGCCTCCCAAAGTGCCTGAATTACAGGTTTGAGCTACCGCGCCCAGCTCAAGAGAAAATTCTAACAGTCTTGCTAATGTTCTTGAATTAAAAGGAAAATATGGGTCGGGTGTGGTGGCTCATGCCTGTAATCCCAGCACTTTGGGAGGCCGAGGTGGGTGGATCACGAGGTCAGGGGTTCAAGACCAGCCTGGCCAAGATGGCGAAACCCTGTCTCTATCAAAAATACAAAAATTAGCTGAGCGTGGTGGTGGGCGCCTGTAATCCCAGCTATTCAGGAGACTGAGGCAGGAGAATTGCTTGAACTCGGGAGGTGGAGGTTGCAATGAACTGAGATCGTGCCATTGCACTCCAGCCTCAGTAACTGAGCGAGATTCTGTCTTAAACAAAAAAAGAAAAAAGAAAAAAAGAAAAATATGTATTTTGTACACAATACTTTTGAGTGTAAAATAAGTTAATGGCCGGATGCAGTGGCTCACATCTGTAATCCTAGTACTTTGGGAGGCCAAGGTGGGAGGATTGTTTGAGCCCACGAGTTTGAGACCAGCCTGGGCAACATAGTGAGACCCTGTCTCTTAAAAAAAAATTTTTTTAAAGCTTTAAAAAAATCATTTTCTCTGCAAATACTGAAGGTGTTGGTGCATTGTCATCCAGCCTTCTTCTTCACTTGGCAACTGAACCATTTGATTCTCATTTCTTTGTAGGTGACCTATAGATTCCCTTTGTTTTAGGAATTTCCTCTTTCTTTCTTTTTTTTTTTTCTTTTTTTTTTTTGAGATGGAGTTTTGCCACATTGCCTAGACTGGTCTCAAACTTGTGAGCTCAAGCGATGCTGGCATAACAGGCATGAGCCACTACACCTGGCCTAGGTTTCCTGTTTTATGTAAATAGAAATCCTCATTGTAAGGTTACACAATATTTTCTTATAATACTATATACGTGTGTGTGTGTGTGT